TCAGAATGCTTTTTAGCCATAAATAAAGTCAGCCTTGCTGGAACAAATGGGTGGGTACATCATTTGATACCTGCCTTGGGACCTAGTCTGGACTTTAAATTTACACTGTATTTGTCAAACAGTTTTGCTACAGAAATGTTTAGTCAAGCTTTTCTACCCCCTGTTAGAATCTTGCATGTTACAAACAAACTGATTTAATTTGGCAATCAATAAATTCATGGCAACATAGAAATGTGTCTTTTGGTTAATAATTTTTAAATTGCGTATCTGTGTTTTGTTCTCCAAACCCACTTTGTTAACAACCCCACCATGTGTAAGGACAGGTCTACAATTAGGAAAGTTGAATCAAATTGATGAACCATGTGAATTCGAATTGCATTAAACCCTTGCATGGGTTTTTCATTCAGAAGTAAAGTGTCTTCAGTTTGCTTTACTTTTAATCCCTTTTAAATAAAACAGTAGTTCTCAACCTTTGTAACTTTTGTGAAGTGAGTGGCACTCCAGTTGAGAATAACTGTGATAAAGGAACATGCAAGGTAACTTCTTTCTTTTGTTTTTTTAAAAAAGAAGTCCTAGATTTCAAGTTATTGTGTCTGTTAAGAAACACCATCTTAAAATTAATTTTAAAAAAGGATTACTATGTAAAACCTACTCTGCCTCTCTCCAGACCTAGCTTCCCTTACAAACCTGGGCTTCCTGTGCCACTTGGCACAGCTCTGTAAGACAATCTCTGACAGTCCAGGCCTGCCTCCCTTTGCTGCCAGGACATCAGTCAGCGCTGGTAGAAACAGCCCTTGTCAGAGATGCCAGGGCTTGAAGGGGCAACTGCAGAACTCTACCTTCTTAAGCCTACTTAATTTTTTTTTTTTTTAACCTAGGTTTGTTATCATTGGCAGCTTAACTCTGGGCCCTGCCTGCACATTTAGCAGCTGGTGGTGCTTTGCAAAGTAGTGGATGTTAGGGCTGTGCAAGGCTTTGAAAAGAGCTTCGGATGCTTCAGTGTCTGAAGCAGCATGTCTGGATTGAAGCGCTGGCTTTGTTAGTCTTTCCAAAGCGGTTTGGAGCTTCCAAAGTGCTTCGGAAAAGCTTCGGAGCCACTTCAGAGATCCGGCCATAGGGTATAATGGGGAATCAATGAAATATCTATAACTTTGTTGTTTTTTGTCTGGTTTGAATGAAACGTGCAGGGGTTGTAGCCTCTGTTGAGAGCATGAAGCCTGCCAATTTTCAAGAAGATCGGTGCAGGGGTTCAGGGGGAACTGCACCCCAAATTCTTGAAAGCAAAACTGATATCATGTCTGTGTGGTACACCACAGGGTGGTTAAAACTGCAGTGGTGGCGGCCTCTGGTGAGGCCACAAAGCCTGCCAAGTTTCAAGAAGATCAGTGCAGGGGCTTGGGGGGAACTGCACCTCAAGCTACGGACAAGCAAAACTCGTGACATGGGTGACACTGTGGGTTAAGGCGCAGCAGGGTGACAGCTGCAGGGATGGTGGCCCCTGCTGCAGCCACAGCGCCTGCCAGCTGTCGAGGAGATCGGTGCAGGGGTTCTGGCTTCTGGGGCCCTGCACCCCTAGCTGCTAATGGACAAAACTCGTGACATGGGTGCTTGTGCAACTGGGTGGCTTGGAGCATGGGAGAGACTACTGCAGGCCTGGCTGCTAAGCTACTGTGTTACCAGTTACAAATTGATCATGATTCACTCAGGGACCAGCTCAATACACAGTAGCTAGCTAATGTAGCCAGTTATTTACCATCAATTAACACCTACAAAACCAGAGACCGAGGAGAGGAAATAATACAGGCAATCTACTGCCCCAAGACGGTCAGTTGCACAAGCACCCATGGCACGAGTTTTGTCTGTCAGCAGCTAGGGGTGCAGGGCCCCAGCACCTCCCTGCACCCATCTCCTCGACAGCTGGCATCGCTGCAGTTTTCACCCTGCTGCGCCTTAACTCACATAGGGTTATCTATGTCACGAGTTTTGCTTGTTCGCAGCTTGAGGTACAGTTCCCCCCCAAACCCCTGCACTGATCTTCTTGAAACTTGGCAGGCTTTGTGGCTTCACCAGGGGCCATCACCCCCTGCATTTATTCCCCATCCCCAAACTCTCCTTAAGTAGCCACTGCTGCCCCTGTTCTTCCAAATACGTGCTGGAACTTCCATGTTCACTTCTTGGCAACTCATGTAATTCAGTTTGGCATTGACGGTACAGGCACTTGCACAGATCACTGACAACTGGAAGTGAGGGGCAATGTGACTGAAATTGAATTAAACAGAGGAGCGGCAGTACAGATAGTTTTTAAACATTCACTTAAAAGAGCACTTTTAATGGAGAGGTGAAGCTGCCAGGAATTTTCACTCTCCTGTGCAAGTGTGTGGATTTTAGAAGCCTTGCTGCAGGCTTGCTTAGTTGCAGGTTTTTATTGGTTTACCATTTATTATAGTCATGTTTTGTGCTCCCAGCTGAGATCAAACTCCCATTATGCTAAAAGCTGTACATACACAGAGGAGGAGTTAGTCCACTAAATTTACAGTCTAAACTATTCAGATGGAAAAAGTGAAGGGAAAAGAGATCCAGTAAGATGAAATGACTGGCTCAAGGTCACACAAGTTGTGCCAGAGCTTGGGTCTTGAGACTTCTGTGCTAGTGCCTCATTCAACAAATGTGCCACCTCTGATTAATAATACGTAGAAACAACATTTTGACACGACTATCATAGATGCTTGCTCTGTAATGGCATGTAGAGGTAGGAAAGGTCAGAAATCTTGGCATGCGGGAATATGCTCCCCAGCAGAGGGACTTTATTCCTCTCCATGTGTGAAGAGAATCTCCTCATAAATGATGTATACCATAAACGCAGTGTGCAGCCATGTGTACAGCTGTGCAGCATGCAGCCTCGATGCAAAGCTTCCCCGTAGTGCCCTGTCAATGACAAATTTATGCTTTGAGAAGCCTATTCTTTCTATCCACGAGAGTAGATTTTAGTCCTCAGAGCCCAAAAGTGCCAATCATGGTGAGTAATGATTTAGATTTTTTCCTGGAGCACTGAGCTGAAACCAACAAATTCTTTTTATTTAGGACTGCAGGCTGAAAGTAGACATACGGTCCCATTTGTGCTGAGTTGGAGCACTATCAACTAATTAAGGCCCCCAACCTGTGTAAACTTTCCCCCAATGTACTGGTAATGTGAACCTGCACAGATGATTGTATGCTGACAGGCTCTGGGTTTTCATTCCCCGTTTGTTCTCTTCAAGGCTATTTCTTTTCATAAGTAAATAGCATGTGCTGGGCCGGATTTCATCAGGACAGTCTTAAGAATAGTTAATGGAAGCAATGTTGGTGCAAAGGAAACATTTAAGTACACTATTACAAAAAGTTAAGGCCAATTGCATATTAGACAAAAGCCAGATGTACAGGCCTGACTTTGTTCTGGAATTAGCACAATTTCTCCTCTAGATTAGTGAATATGACAAAGACACATGCCTGGTAACATTTCTGAACAAAAGCTGCCTCTTAGCTACAAACCCAGCCCTCCAGCTTTTTCCTTGGACAGTTTCCTTAGGTGATTTAAGGCATACAAACTGTAAAAATCCTTTTTTTTTTAATCTGGACTGTTTTATGGATTGCTATTATAATGATCACCTAAATTTACTTTAATTGAAAAAGTTCAGTTAGCCCACTGAGTGTTAACCTTTTTAGAGTCAAGGCACCCCTTGGAAAATGCTAGTTTATAGCTTATATAATGAAAGATATCAGATTTTTCCCAAATAGCTCTTAGTTTTTCCTTTTTTTTTGGTCTATAGAAAAATAGAGCAATTTTTCTGTGGCAAAGAACTCAGAAATACTGCAACAGCGCAGAAGATTTTCAACGCTGTGGATTCCTGTTTAAAATATCTGTATTTATCTGGCAAATCATGTTTGCACACGTCACAGTGCGAGACCCCACAGCATCCTTGAAAGGATCTCAAGGCACCCTATGAGACCCCATCAGCCTGTCTGAGAATCACTGGCCTCGCTATGCCAATCACAAGGGACTCACAGTTAGTTTGCAGGTCTAGATTTAAATGCAATTTAATGTTTTAAGTTGATCATTAAATCAGTAGCAAAATGAGACACCACTTGCCATTTGTAGAGATATGTACTTGGAGGGGGTGACGAGTTCAGTTCTCAGCTTTGCCATTGATTGGCAACATGACTGTGAGCAAGTCGCTTGGTTTCCCTGTGCGTGGAGTCAAGCCCTATTCATATCAGTGCAATCAAATGGAATTTGACTCATTATATTCATTAATCTTACTGCTCCTATTAGAGAATGTAAGAAAACACAACAAGAAAAACTTGCAAACCTGCTTGGAGCTCCACTTCACTAGCAAAATTCAATTTTCCAGTAAATCTTTTTTTTTAAAGCATTTAATCCACTAACCTACTAAAATTGGTTATTATGGACCTGTAATCTGATTCCTTGAATCACTTTTGCAGTCTCTGAGTGTGCTAAATAGTCAGTGATGTGTAACATGAAAGAGAGCTAATGGGCAATGCAGATTTTTCTCCTTTGCTCTTGTATTGAAACACCTCTCATATAAAATGAAACACCACTCATAGAGATAAAATAAACAGATGGCTGCTGGTTGTTTTAAGAACATCCAGAGACTGCTCTGGGGGTTTCAAGACGCATGTACAAATGATAAATGCAGGTTGCTTTTCTAGAGTAGTTATGCAATTGCTGTGGTTTTTGAATGCCTCCACGTGCATGTGTATTCATTTTGTTGACAATGGCTCTGTCCTCCCTCCCAGACCAGGCTAACATTGGTAATTAGATTTTAATGGTTGTCTGTTGAGGTAGAAAATTCTTAAATTGGGTTTAGCTGGAGCCCAAGAGAACTAGTTGTCTCTTCTTTGTCTGCAGGGACTGGCTTTTAAAGCAGTGGAAAATTACCAAATGAGAACAAAGAAGCTAAGTGTTGGAAGGGGAGTATATGACTTAAGGAAACTTTGCATAGGAGAGGAAAAGGGATGGACTTTTGTAAGGAGGGGATCTAGTTTAGCTCAGTAAAGAGAAGGCAAGCTGAGCTAGATGGATTTGGAGGCAGAAAACTGCTTCAGGAGAAGTCTGGACAGAAAGTGTTCTAATGAGTGGTGAGAGAACTTAAGCAAGGAAATGCTAATAGGCATCTGTGATTTTTGTCTATGTCTTTTATTGTGTTTGAGTGAAGAGTAGTGGTGTTTTAGATCCTGGTTAAGGTGTGTGGGGAAGAAGAGGGAGAGGGAGACTTGCTATACCAGTCATCCTAGTGAAAAGGTGAACTGTAAACTAAAAAGCTTCCACTGCCAAGAGTGAGTTCTGGGAGAGGTGGTTTCAAACGGCTGGAGCACATTGGGTTGAGGAGTGATGGTGGGGGCTGGGTGGTGCGATTTTCCAGGAGGCGGTTAGCAGATACCTGCCCTTGGGAAGAATGCACTCCCCTGAGCCCCAGGGTAACTTAAAGCACAAAACTCCCATGCACTGAAACAACACAACTGCCTGGAGACTATCCAGTGAAGGAAGCTGTATGAAAAGGTCTGGTATCCAGGTTGTAGCCTATTGGTTTAGAGGAAAAAGCAACCGGGGCTTACGGTAAAGATGATATCTTTTATTAGACCAACAAGATTTTGCAAATGTGTAGTATCTATAACTTTAAGCATTGCAGAAGATGAGCTCAAATGAAGTAATTCTAAAGCAGGTATTCAGAAATAAATGGGAGCTATAGGATTCACCAAGTCGCTCCTGTAGACTTTGGATACAGCGTAGCAAACCTCACCTCATGTGAACAATTACTAATGTTAATGGTCTTAATTGTGAGACTAAGGATTACTCTAGCATGCAAATTGATAGGAAAAAGTTTAGAATAGCAGTGAAAAGAGGAGCTTTGATTTGGGGCATAATCCTATAAGCCTTTCTTTCATCTTTGAAATTTTGACCCAAATTATTTATTTTCTTGCAAAACTTGCTGATCAAGAAAATAACGTCTTAAGATGTTGGGTATTTTGGCAAGTGAAACTGAAGAAAGCTTTACATTTTTCATTTCACAAAATCTTTTTGTCAGCCTCTTTCTGTATGTTAGGCAAGAAGATTTTAACGGCAGTATTCCTGACCAGTTCTCCTTGTATGATGGAAAGCACGCTGCTTAAGAACAGATGAAAAATAAGAATATTAAAGATAAGGAAATACAAGCAGGAAGTGATCGATGCTGAAGTGAGCCAGGCAACTTGCTGGGAAACTTGAAATACATATTTGGTTCACTCAAATGCTGTGTGAGAATGCAAGGTTGCTAGAGAAAGTAAAATGTTAGCTTTGTTCATATGCATAAAATACTAACAATTCTAATATTACATAAGCCTGTCTTTTATTCGCTCTCTGATTGGCTGACAGACAGCGGTTGGGGGGAGGAGGAGGACGGACTAGAAGCCGGCCCACTGTGGCAGCAGGGGAATGGGAGGAGTGGGCTCTGAGCCGACGGATGGAGGAGTTTGCCCGGGCCCGAGGGAGGGAGGAAGGAGGCTTGCTCTTCCTCTCCCCCAGCCGCTGTTGTGTTGGGCTGGGCCCGTTGCTCCCCCCCACCGCTGCAGTGGGCCGGCTTCTGCCCTGACTTGGGCTCAGTCCTCCCCACCATGGGACCTGAGCCCACTCTTCCCTCACCTTTCTTCCTCCCTGCCCTGTTGGCTCTGAGCCCACTCCTGTTCCCCCACTGCCACCAGTTGGCCTGGGCCTGCTACTTCCCCTGCCACCGGCTTCTCCCCATCAAGCCCAGTGGGGACGGGGGGAGCAGGCCAGGACCCCAAGCAGCAGGAGGTAAAGGGGGAGTGGGCCCGGATGGGTCGGGGGGGCATGGGGCTCTGTCTCGGGATGCTCCTGGCCCCCCCCTCATCATTCCTGACAGGCAATTGGCTAGTTTAATTGTAGCGGTGTAGTTAAAGAATTGCAATTCTCTTTAAGTGGACACAAAGGGAAGGGACTGCTGCTGCCAGCTGGCTACCCCTGTATATGAAAGTGAAGAAGCACTCCAGCAGAAGCACCCTTTATACTACTGTGACTAGATCCAGATTCACTTGGTATCCTACTGGTGTAACTATTTTTGTTTAAAAAAACGCTACTTTTTCTCCTCGGCCTCCAAGCAAAGTGGTTAATTAGTACAAGAACTGGTGTATGCTAGGCAAGGTTGAAAGAAAAGGTCTTGCTAGAGTGCGTCAAATGTTGTTGAAATAGACTTGCTTCCACCAACGCTTCAGTTTCAGTGGAACATGGGGGAAGCCCTCTTACAAAGAATGACAGTAAGGTTGAAATGTTCCATTTTTACTTTATCATAATTAAATTTATTTTTTTTGCTTTCTGAATATTTTTGGATTAGAAATCTTTCATAACCATAAAATGATTTTGACTTTTTTAAAGAAGAATATTTAATTGACTTGAAACACTTTTTGTCACTGAAAATCTAATTTAATGAGAGCTTTCACCTCTTTATTGTTTTGTTCCAATTTGAATGATGTTACATTTCAATACGTTGGGTCTTTCTTGCATTAAAAAGCAGAGCAATTGGAAACGGATTCTGCAGACTTGGTAGAGTGGGAATGCATGTAATAGAGTAAAGGGAGATAATTTTCAGTTCTTGTTCGTAAGCAGGGGACTTCAGAGAAGCTATCAATAAAGCTCATGTTCTAAAAAGTATCATGGGTACCACTAAATCTGCACATGAGACCTGAATTTGTGCTAGAAAATATTCTATGGTATGGCTATTGAGTGAAGGAAGGAAATGAAATACTAGGACAGATGCATGCTAGCTGAATGCTATAAAACAGGACACTATGGGGAGCTGGTAATGGTATTCAGAACCTTTCCTTTCTATGTCATCTACCTCAGGTTGAGATTATCAAGAGTCATTATCACCTATTGACTCCTAAGAATAATGTGAAATAAACTGAGTATCTCAGTTAAGAGCCGAGCGAATAGGTTCCACAATCACAAAAAGCCCTGTTAAAACTGATGCTAACTGGTCCCCTTGGTGGCAGTGGCAGTAGAGAGGCCAGTTCTTGAATATTCTTGAATTCAGGTCCTTTCATCTTCTGGTCCTACCAGATCAGATTTAAGGTAAGCTTGCTGCTGTACTGTAGCTATCATGAGGCTAGAGAACTGCTGCCTGCAGGTCTTGGAGAAGCCATAAATTAGTTAAACTGTGAGGTAAAACTGCTCTATTGCACAGCCCACCAACACCAGATGCATACAGCAAAATAACTCCCCATCCAAACCCCACCATTCAGTTTTCCTTAGTCTCAGCTACCTCTGTTCTGTTGCTGTCCCTAAATCTCTGTCCTTATCCTGGACACACATTAATGTTTCCTCTCTCTTTCTACTTTTTGTCACATAGTAGAAAGATATTTGGAAACATTACTGGTTATATAGTTTGAAATATGACCTGTGGAGTAGATCTAAAGCAATCCTAGAAAATTCATTCCCTGCCACCTTTGCCCCCACCCTTGCTTCCCTACCCCATTCTCTTCTCTGAATTTTTTTTAAAGCCATATATCTGTTTATTCCTTTGAAACCAAACCTATTCTCTGTTTCCCCCTTATAGCATGACAACTTGTTTGATTTACTGGGTTAGTCCTGGTCTTATTGGTTCTTTCAGCAGTGAATCTTAGTGAGGCTAGGTGGGAGTAATACCAATTGATGAGTCTGCCACTATGTGCTTTTGGTTGTCTGAATTTTAAGGTTATTTTATTTCCCTTTGTCTGGTAGTCAAGATGCATCAGTTATGCTATAATAGCGAATGTTTCTGGCCTGCTGGCCACAATAGGACTCTCTAGCGGTTGATGTGTTTACTGACCCGATCCAATCGCCACACTTACCCTGTTTAATACCCTCAAATATGAGAGTGTTTATGCCAGCTTCCCCAAATACAATACATCCTACACTAAGAAATGACAAAGTCGATTAATACACACCTCAGGCCTTCAAATGGTATATAGCCTGTGTGAAATGTGTGAATAGCCCCAGAAAATACACTGTGGGGAACACTGGATTGCTTAATGAAAGAACAGACCGAGGACTTGAGTGATTTGATGAAGTGCAAGAATTCAGAGATATTGTCATCAGTAACATCCACTGCTTGGAGCCCTGTGGTTTGAATTACTCCAACTGCTTTTGCAATAACCAGCATGTAGGATCCTTTGTCTTGAATGCTTTAATGTTGTTTAGAACTCATTTTAATTGTCACAAGCTGTTTAGTTACTGGAGTTTGCATGCTTGATACACACATACCTACTATGAACCTAAGAATGGATTAGGAATCTATGTTGCTAATACTTCATCACAAAAAATAGCCTTTTTTCACATGAATAGTCCTGTAGACTTCCAAATTACTTGTTGTGCTGTGCCCCTGGGTGGGTTGTTATTACTAGAAATCAGACCTAGATGGAATCCCTGTGTTGTCAGCCACTGCTGCCTGGGCTAAAAAGACCCAAATCTGCTGGTCAAAACTCACCAACCTCTAGATCAGTGGTTCTCAACCTTTTTTGTACCGGGACCCATTTGTAAACATCAGTGGCGAATCCTGACCTGCTGCCCCCCACCCCCTGTGGGTGTTCCAGCCTGCTAGGGAAAAACCAGTTTCCTGTTTTTTTTCCATTTTTAAAGCTTGTTTGTGACCCTTGCATATATTCTTCTGACCTACTTTTGGGTCACAGCCCATGGGTTGAGAAATGCTGCTCTAGATGAAGTGCAGACAGAGTGCTACCTGAGTGAATGTGGGTACTCTTACTCATGATTTTTTAACATTAGCAAAATAGAAGTGTAAGTACGAAGGATACAACATAGTCTTTAGCCTGCTTCAAATATTGTAAATATTGAGCCAGATACATTTCTGCTGTGGCTCCACTGGCTTCAATAGTTCACTGTATTCACCTTTCCATTAACTATTACAAATTAGTAAAATATTGCTTTTTGGTAATAATTTATGACAGTGCAGACAAGTCAGAGAAAGAAAGTTACTATGTTGGGCAGCGTTAGTGAAAACACCGTAGGCCTCAGATGTGGTCGTGATAGAAACACCATGATGACAAATGCAGACTGTGGACCTTGCGTAGCTTAAATTATGAATAATATG